CAGGGAGGAGGGGAAGCCAGGAGGAAGCAGAGACAGGACACCTGACCCAAACTGACCAAAGAGGTATTCCATACCACAGCACGTCATGCCCAGGAGGTAACTGGGAGAGACTGCAGGGTTGGAGGAGGTATTCAGAGCTTGGTCGGGCTGGGGGGGTGAGTTATCGGTCGGCTGGTGGTGAGATGCTGTATTCTCTTCCCTTGTTATTTCCTTTATCATTATTATCATTGGTGGTAGCAGCAGTGATCTGTGTTATACCTTAGTTACTAAACTGTTCTTATCTCAACCCGTGGGAGTTGCATTCTTTTTGATTCTCCTCTCCGTCCCTCCGAGAGCAGGGGGAGGGCAAGAAAAGGGGGGGGAGTGAGCGAACGAATTACCTGACTGGGTTTAAACCACAACAAGCATGCAAGCAATATTTCAGCAATGAGCAAAGCACCCTTAAACATCCTGAATCTCTGGTGAGAGACTGGTTGCAAGGAGAAACCAAGCACAGGGATTTCTCTGCTGTGGAGTGGTTTTTGGTCTGGGCCTCAGAAGGGGCCTTCAGCTCCCCTGCCAGAGGCTCCCTTGCATCCAAAATTAAAAGCTGGCAATAATGTAAGGGAAAACTACATGGAGAACAGAAACCCTCTTCAGGGATTTCTTTCCCCAAAAAATTGTGTATTACAAAACACAGTTCCACTCTGAATGAATCATCCCGTTGCATCTACCATGGCTGCTCAGAATCATCCATCAGTTAACATGCCCAGCATCTCATAACATCTGGAAATGCAGACAGCAAACATGGTGAGCAAACCTGCCAGCTGCTACTCGGAGCATTTAAGACCAACGTGAGGCAATGAGAGTGGTGGAACAAGGTCCAGAGCTTTATTTCTCAGGTTCAGAAATAAAGGCTAAAATTTTGCTCCTGTGAGCAGGAATGTGACTTGAGAGACCAGGTTTCAGTCTCCAGGTTAGGCAGCTTTACCCTTTCAGCTGTACAACCAAAATGAGGAGAAGCAGTGGTGGAAATCTGGCCAGTTTTTCTGAAAGGTGAAAAGGGAATTTGGGGCAAAGGATGCTATTTAATTTCTTTGGCTTCCTTAAGCTGTTGAGTGGTGGAGAAACAGATGTAACTACATAACATCAGCTAGGTGCAATTAATTATATTGCTGGTCTTTGCAGATGTTCAGAAAGATTCCTGTATATACACAGCACAACAATGTCAGAGGCACAGGACTGCATAGCCACATGGGGGGCGTTATATCACATGGCAGGTCACAGTTGGCACTCACCAGAAAGCTGAAAGGCCTGGAAAAACACTGGACTCTCTCAGGGAATCTGCATTTACACTTCATTCACATTGTCTTTTAAGTAGGCTGTCATTTGGCTCAGATATGTAGGAAATCAAAACATTAGCCCAGGGATGGTGTCACTATTGAAACAGCATCTGACAACTCCTGAGTGCAACTACTTGGTTATTTCAGAAGCATCTTATTTCTCCTATCAGCTGGAGGGGCAGCAGGTAATTTCTATCATGCCCATCCCAAATGACCAAGAGAAACATCAACAGCCCTTAAACAGGGGGAAAAAGTCCAGTGCCTTCTCTGCTGCCAGCACAACATGCTGTTGTAGCACAGAGGAACGTGCACCTCAGAAGGAGATGCTGAGGAGAAAAACGGGCACCCCTTTCTTTAGACACTCTTAGGAACTAAAGCAAAATATAAGCTATGGTAACAGGATGCATTTGACAAAGGCAGAGGATATATCATGAAAATGAATGGGATAATGCATTGCTTAAAATAAAAAATGTAGTATCACGGAATGTAATAATGGTTTGGGTTGGAAAGGACCTTAAGGATCATCTAGTTTCAACCACCTGCCATGGTAGGGACACCTTCCACTAGAACAGGTTGTTCAAAGCCGTGTCCAGCCTGGTCTTGAACACTGCCAGGGATGGGGCAGCCACAGCTTCTCTGGGCAACCTGTGCCAGTGCTTCACCACCTTAATAATAAAAAATTTCTTCTCATATATAACCTAACTCTCCCCTCTTTCAGTTTAAACCCATTACACCTTGCCCTATCACTACTTACTCTTACAAAAAGTCCCTTTCCAGATTTCTTGTAGCCCCTTTAGGCACTGGAAGCTGCCATGAGGCTCCCTTGAGCGTTTTATTCTCCGGGCTAAACAAACCCAGCTCTCTCAGCCTATCTCCATAGAAGAGGTGCTACAGCCCTTTGAGCATCTTCGTGGCCTTCCTTTGGACTCTCTCCAACATGTCCATGTCCTTCTTACACTGGGGACCCCAGAGGTGGATGCAATACTGCAGGTGGGATCTCACTGGAGTGTGGTTCAGGCTGCAGTAAGATTGCTCTAGAAAATCTCTCTATGTCTCTGGTGTAGCTTTGGACTGAAAAATTATCTTTTTCTAGAAATACCAGGGCTTCCCTGAATGACAAGCAAACATACATATGAAGGGGTAACTTTTGCTGTCACTTAGGAGTACCAGTCACTTAATGACTTAATTTCCTGTTCTAATGTCTCCTTCAAGCTCATTGAAGGAAAATATCAAAATATTATTTAAGGGAGGTGGTCCCTCAAGGGAACTAGAGGCATTGCCAGTAATTTAACTGTCAGGAGCTTTATTCTTCAGAGTAAATATGGTGTCTTTTTCTTTACTACATTTTTTACTATGGTACTTCCACAGAAAAGTACCCTGGTCTTCAGCTCCATGAGTAGAGACATGCAAGAATACCAAAGGGAGAAATGGTAGTAAATGGGAACACAGCATTTATGCAAGCGTTGCTAAAGCTGCGTGTAAGGATCCCTAATGAAGATTGTCTTGAATCCTTTTGCAAGTAAATAATAATAATAGTAATAAAGATCTTATACTTTGCACCCAGATTTTAACTGATGCTCCCCACTATTTTGCTGGTGAAGTGAAGAAGGCAGCAGGATGCTCTCACACCTCCAGAGGCATTTCTCTCTTGTGAAATGATGGTCCACTTACAAAATGCAATACCTGTTTCTTGCTCTTTCTTCCCCTGCACTCTGAGTAGCTGTTCAATCAATAAAAACCATATCTTCAGCCAGTAGTAAATTGAGTTTATTAAAACAAGGGTTTGACAGTTAATTCAATTGCTAACAAAGTTAGAGTGTGGTCAATACAAAAAAAAAGTGGCCTCATAAGTGAGATACATATATCCTCTAGATGCAAAATTACCTAATATGTTGCATTGGATGGGTACAAACAAAAACACATCAGTGAGAATATACTGTGGCTAATTTTTTTCCATTCTCTTGTAGTATTTAAGGTGTGCACTCTCTCATCAGAGGCTCCAAGTCACCCTGCACAGGTCTACTCCTGACATGAAAACTACAGAAAAAGAGTTTGCCCCCTTCCTTCTAATTATTTGCCCACTATCTCTCTGAACAGGCTACCATTTGGGTTCTATTCCCATTGTAAACCAGTGGTAATATTTGATTTTCCTTCAATAGCATGGGACCAAGCATATTCCCTTCTCCTTCAACAGCATGGGACCAAGCACTGCAGGAGTTCACATGGCATCATTTGGTCAACTTGCAGGTATTCCACTTAGTTACTGAAATATGGATTTGGAACATGAACTTTAGTGAAGACTTATGATAAAACTCTGTGCTTACATCAAAGCCAGCATAAAGCGATTGAAATAGATTGACTTTGCAATTGAACATAACCCTTACATAGCCAAGAAAAATGTGACTTTCCCAGTGATTTGCCAAGTACTTTTTCACCTGGCCAGCAATGATTTGTTTTCTGCATATTTCATACACAGCTGAAAATAGCTAGCTGCAGTTATTTTTGTTTGGGAGCAATAATGTTCAGTTTGTAGATTGTTTTCTCCAAGACAGTTCAGAGCACTATGAAAGTATCTTCACTGACAGAAGCCTTCCTTTGTGTGGATTCCACGTGGAGGGAAAGCATTCAGCTTTCTTTTTTAGTTTACTTATGGGACAGGCTGCTTTCCTGGAAAATATTACAAAACATTGTCTATTTTTTTTTACAGAATGAGGTGATCAAATGTAAAATTTAAACGCAGTCAAGCTGAGTCTGGAGCATGTTTTCACTTAATTGCAAGTGGTCTGATTTTTAGGACATGCATTTTAGAAAATATTTGGAGACTGAAAAAATGGAAGCAGCCAAATTACACATACATGTAGCTCTTCATTGCTTTATAAACAGCCTTTGTCCTCCTCCTCCTCTGCTGCCCCTCTTTCCTCCTGTTCCTGTTTTAGTGTTTTCCCCTTGCATTCAGTGTCAGGCAGTTCAAAGTAACTGAAAGTTAATCCTATGAAAAAAGGGACCAGTTTCCTCCTTGGAGCAGGTAGGAAGTGAGGGATTAGGGATGCCTTTGGCAGCAGTTTGCTGTCAGACTGGCTTACCTGTGTGGAGGAAACCACTGCTGAGCTCCCTAGCTACTCAGGAGTATTATTTGGACCAAAATAATTTTAAAAGTTTATCTTTGGGCCCCTGCATGGGAACTTTGCTTTCAGCAAAGCACTGGCAACACTGCACATCAAAGCAAGTGCTGCAACAACCTCAAAGGAATTGATGCACACACGAAGAGCTACAGCCTGGTGCTCCGGGCACCCACATCCTGCCCTCACTGCCAGCAGTCATCTTACTCATGCTGACACCATTTGCTTGAGATCTTTATCTCACCTGACAACCACTGAAGTGTTAAGCAGAATACCTTGGTGGCCCCCTCAGAGTGGAAAATTCAGAAATGTTAATGCCTTCTAAGGAGCATGAGCCACTGCCGGGTCCTCTTTGGTTCTTTGCCTGCTTTGTAAGTCAGCCTCAGCAGAAAGTATCACTGTTGCTTTATGTTCCTGTTACCTGCAAAACTTTGACCAGTATTTTCAAAGGGAACTGATAGAGCCCTGTGAATCTGATGGGTATCACAGTGTCTGAACCACACACCTCTGCACACATAGGGAAATGGAGCACAGAGAGGTTCAGACACAGACACAAGTCACCAGTTGAGCATTGTGAAATGAAATAAATGGACTCAGGCAGCAAGTTACATCCCTTTCAATCCCATTTCATGAGGACAATGGGCACTAGAGATGTATCTGTGTTGCTGCATAGGAGAGGACCAGGGATAACACTGAGGTACCTGACCTGTGATCATCCTACCTTGCTTTTAGCCCCAACAAGCTATTGCCAAGACACTTTTTCTCCAGAGATGCCTGGCATCTGTGCCAGCCTCTGGCAATGAATAGTACGGACCCAGTCTAGATGTCCCGTCAGGACTATATATACATCATTCTGCAACTCTGGACCAGCTACCTGCGGTACAGACTTCTGATTCTTGCTTTGAAATTTTCAGCAGCAAAGTAATAGAGGATGGGATCAAGGCAGCTGTTCATGGCAGCAAGGCAGAGAGTGACCACCAGTGCTTTGTGCACAGGCAGGTTGGCCTGGCTGCAGCTGCTGTACATCAGGTGGACAGTTCGCAGTATGTGATACGGCAGAAAGCAGAGGAGGAAAAGGATGAGAGTGATGATGATGGTTGACAGTGCCTTCTTGTGACAGACTGCCTTCTTGCACTGTGGACTCCTGGACTTGAGCAGCGCTTTGATTGCAAAGATGTAGCAGACAATAATGATGCAAAAGGGCAGAATGAAGCCCACAGCGAGGACAAAGCTGTTCATCATGAGGAGCCTGTGTGTGCTGGAGGGGTGGAGGTCCAAGCACTTGGCTGGGTTTATGTACCCAGCAATTCCCTTGGTTAACAGAGGGCTGGAGACTGCCATCACAAAGACCCATATAATCACGCATATTATCCTGGCATAATTCATGTTGGTTACTTTGCCGTGTTTGAATGGGTATACAATGGCTATGAAACGAACCACACTGAGCACAGTGAGAAAATAAATGCTGCAGTACATGTTCACATACAAGGTGTACGTCATGATCCTGCAGGCAATATCACCAAATATCCAGTGTGATCCCAACAGGAAATAAGTGGCCCGAAAGGGCAAAGTGCTCACAAACATGAGATCTGAAACAGCCAAGTTCTGCATGTAAATGTTTACTGAGGTCTTCCTCTGTGAAGGCTGGAAGAAAACGTAAATGGAGAGGCCATTTCCAACAGCACCAAAAAAGAAGATAAAAAGGTAAATGGTGGGATAAATAACTTGCTTGAAGCTATCAATCGTACACTTGAAGGAGCTGTTAGTGAAGTTGTCGACTCGCACCATCTTGGAAATATCCATAGTCAGGAGCCAGGCTCTCTGTCTTTCTGCCAGAGTAAAAAGAAGTGGCGTGAGTGCTGCATTACAGGCAGGGCAGGGAGTTCAGCTATTCAGGACTATTTTCTTGAGGGCAGAAATAGTAAGATGTGGATGGCAGTGTAAAGTAAAGGTTTGTTACTGAGTAATTAGTTGTGATGTCCCAGCAAATACACATCTCAGAGTGTAAATCCCCAAGTCATCTCTGTACAGTTTCACCATTACAGCAGCTGGTTGTTGTCTCAGCCTATGAAAGTGCTCCCTTTTAAAGGTGAGTGCTAGTGTGTGTGTTTTAATGGCAATTCTCAGATGTTCTCTGTGCAAAACAAGCCAACTTGCTGTCAGCCATTTTGTAGCAGGCAGTTTTTGAGTCCCCAGTTACCTACCATGGAAACATCAAAATCAGAAAAGAAACTGCTGTCCACTGGTAAGTCTGCAGTTCAGATTAGGATGAAAAGCCAAAAGAACTGAATTTGCCTTTTGGAACTACCGAATTTTTTCTGGTATGTTGTTGGCAGTGTGTCACTGAACTTTCCCCAGCAATACCACAGGTATATTGATACAGGTCAGAATGTATAAATTAAGGAAATTTTGACCTTAAACACTGTGTAAACACTGTGCTAGATAGGCATAGCTCCATTTTTAACTCCCTACTCCTTACACTGAATATCTTCTTTCCTGTCAGTTTCTGATGGATGCTTGTCTCTTTTTGTGGGGCCTTTTCTTCATTTACCACTTTGTCAACCTCTTTTGTGCTCAGCTGCTCTGCATCAGTCATCTACACGCACTGCAACTTCCAAGGCAGCCCGTGTTTGCAGCCCTAATGAAAATGGGCTGCGTTCACAGAGAGTGACATTTTTCCTCCTATGAGGCTATAATTCAATCCAATCAGAACCACCCATCACTAAAACACTCTAAATAATAGGGTTTTTTCCTCATTAGAGTCTATTTCCTTGACGAGCTCCTGATTTCTTCTCCCAGCTGACTTACAGCTAGTAGTATTTTGAAAAGGAAAGTTCAGTATTGTTGCTTGTTTAATAGTGGGAGTAATTCCCTCTGTGCATCTGCCAACATATTCTAGAGACAAAGCATGGGAAATTTTAGCCTAAAAACCAGATCTACATGGCCTCCTAGATGCATTAGTTTGCCCTATTGAGAGTGATAATGAGTTGATGGTGCACAGCTGTGTCGTATCTCTTATTCTGAACCTCACTGGCTTCACAATTTCAAATTAATTTATTTGCACAGGTGGAGAAGCCCTAGGTGGAAAAGTGGGTTCTAGATTTGGGTGCCCTGGAATCCCAGTTACCCAGTGCAGTATTCCCAGTGTGCTTAAATGGGAGGTAATTCGCAAACTCAAGCCATGGTGTGGGAGCCTGAGCTATGTTTAGGGCAATGAAGCTGGTGAACGACCTGGAATACAAGTCTGATAAGGAGTAGCTGAGGTAACTGCTGGTGTTTGGTCTGGAGAAGAGCAGGCTCAGGGGGGACTTTATCACTCTCTACAACTGCCTGAAAGGAGGTTGTAGTGAGGTGCCGGTTGGTCTCTTCTCCCAGGTAACAAGTGATAGGCAATGGCCTCAAACTGCACTGGGGGAGGTTTAGACTGGAGATTAGGAATAATTTCTTCACTGAGAGGGTGCTCAGGCATTGGAACAGGCTGCCCAGGGCAGTGATGGAGTCACTCTCCCTGGAAGTGTTCGATAACTGTGTCGAGGAGAGCCTTAATGACACAGTTTAGTGGTGGACTTGTGTTTTGGGAATTCTAAAAGCAAGGATGCTTGAGCCATAGAGAAACAGCTAAAAGGGCTCTACCCCCAGGCAGTCCTGGGGTAATGGTTGGACTTGATCTTAAAGGTCTTTTCCAACCTAGGTGATTCTATGATTTTGTGTTCAGAGCAGCCCACAGTATCTTCAGGGCAGCATCTCGGAGACAATCTGGATCCCTTCATGCATCAACCAGATGTGCCCTAGCGGTCACATTTTACCCAGCCCCACTGCAAAAGGGAGCATGGGAAGTGCAACCCTTAGGCTGGGCTCTCAAGCACCTACCCCCCACATCATGGGACGGGAACCTGGTGGCTTGGGGAAGAGGACATTCACTTACACCGGTGTCATGCCCATCCCTGAAGTGCTTGAAATTATCCCTCCAGAAAATACAGTACATATTGAGCTTAGGAGCGCTGAAGACTTGAAGGGGGCAAACTGCATATTGGGGCTCAGCAATGCCCCAGACCCAGTAAACACATGCTCTTAAAGGAAATCTCCTTTTTTGAGACACTCTTTCCTCATGGAGGGGAGAAACAACATATACTTCCTAAGAACAAGTCTTTTTCAGTCAGAGGGGTTTTGAATGGGTTTGGTTTTCTGTAACAAGTGGCTGTCTGACATACACATTTTCTGTACAGGATGAAGGGTCAGCTTTTCTCCTGACTGAATCTGATCTCCTGATTTTGCAGGGAAACACTGCAGCCCGAGGTACCGCAAAGGGAAGAGCCCTTTTAGCTGTTTCTCTATGGCTCAAGCATCCTTGCTTTTAGAAATCCCAAAACACAAGAAAATATCAGTGAAGATATCTGCAACCTGTTGAAGCATTCCTGTTGTGTGTTAAACCTGTGAGTTACAGCAGTCACATGAGGATGAAGAACTTGGAACATGGACAAATTCAAAGCCCTGTTGAGCACTACAAGTGATGCCTTGTGGCCTGCAGCTATCTGCTGAAGGACAAGATTAGGGCAATGAAAACACAGTTGATGAAAAGCCCTTGTACAAGCACAGAGGCTGAGGCACTTTTCTCAGGCTCTTCATAAGGGGTTATGCAGCTAACAACTACCATTAAAACTGTTTTCTTCTTCCAGCTAAAGACCTTTAGGAAATCAGATGCACATGTGTAATTGAGAATCTTCCGACCTGGAAAGAAAGCCGGTTCTTGGCCTCCTCTACAAGTTATCCAAACAGAACTTTCAAGCCATTATAGGATGTCTAAGAGCAAAAGGCTGGAAAGCAGTCATCTGAAAGCTGTTCACCACTATGATGCCTGCCCTCACTCAAGAGTCAAGAGCAACACATGCAGTAATCATGCATAGATGCTCGTATTACAGATCAATGTAGAAAGGAAGGTGCAGTGAAAGATACAAGCAGCAACAGAGGAGAAAGGGAGAATTTTATGCCTCCTTGAAGCCAAGAGTTGTTTACTAGCCAGCTAAGGCTAGGAGATGGCTATTAGATAAATAGAAAGAATTGGTATCTAAGAACGTGCAATAAACTTTGTTTTCACCAGAGCGTCCAGATGGTCTCCCGGGTTAGGAATGAACAGGGTGGGGTTGGGGTGAAAGAGTGGACCTACAGAGTCCCCCAAAAGAAGGGAAATTGGTGGTAAGATCTAACAACCCCCTGAGGAAAAAAAAGGGAAAGATAGGGACAGTCTGAAATGGGAATCCCTCTTAAGCAGTACTGCAAGGTTTATCCGATGCATACCCTCTAGCACGAGATTTTTCTGTATATGAGTTTCCCTGATGGAAGCTATCAAGCAGGAGCACCTGACACACGTCCCAAGGCTCTGACAATCACCTGTCAGGAGACAGAGCGCCTTTCAGCTGAGCAAGAAAAGGGAGGCTTTTCTGAAGTAAATGCTGTGTAAGTAGATTAGGTGTAGAGTTTGGTGGGGTTTTGTCTTCACCTCTGTTAAGTGTTTTAGAAATATTCATGATTTTGTTAGTATGGATTTTATTAACAAATATTTGCCTCTTATTATAAATTGCATATATATGGTAAATTATATATATTTATTATGAAGAAATATTTTGCCTTTTATCTTAGCCTGGCTTGAGTGTGATTTAAGGTAAGGGGATAACAGAAAAACATTCTTTGCCTAAGGTGAATCCAATACCATTAGCAAACAGATGGGTGTACAAGCCAGGTAGGGAACTGATGGGAGCAAAGTTAAGAAGAGATATGTTTAATTGGAGGAGATACTAAATAAATAAAAAAATTCCCCCAAAACATCATATTTTAAGCTTGGGATGCAGGTAGCAGTCTAGCAGCAGAGTAAGGGCTACCCTATAAATTGCCTAGAGTGTGATGTGTATGGCTGCCTTCCCGGGGCAGGTTTTGTGCATGCACGTGTGAGACAAGCAGCTGGCGACATGGAGGTACAAGGATGGTTCTCTTGAGGCAAGAGTGGCTTGGCAGGTGTAGGGCAAGAGCAGGTCAGCCTGAGGAGCAGACCTCATGAGATGCCTGTGCAGATTGCTTGCAGGTGCAGGAGAGGAGCTGGTGTTGGCTGTGGTTATTGTGGTCAATAGGGATCAAAGTGGGACCTTAGGGGCTCAGCTACAATGCAAGAGAGAAGCTCAGGTTAGACCCAGTGTTTCAGTGCATGCATGAGGTAGTAGAGAGGAGAAATTTAGGTATGTAAGGAACTGAGGGATCTTTGAGGATAAAGGGCAGTGATACAGTAATGAGAGACTGCACTGTACTAGGAGTGATCCAGGCTGCTGGTGCTGCAGACTGGAAGGTTTGCAAAGGAGTACTTAATGAGAAGAAGGGGTTCTGATGGGCATAAGAGGGAACTGATGAGAGCTGAGAGAGCAGTGAAGTCACATCCAGTGCACCTCTGACAAGGTCAGAAAGGAAATAAAGCCTAACTGCAATAACTAGGGAAGGCAAATCCAGCTGCCCCAAATCCAGTTGGCTGGCACCTGCTATCTTGAGCAACTGATCAAAAGCAAATCCTACATGTAATTCTGTACCAATGCTCAAAGCCAATAATAGGACTGGGGAGCTGGCAGGCTTGGTATGAAACAGCAACCCTCGTGCAAGAGGAACCTCAGGGACCTGCAGGAGAAAGGATAATCACTGGGAGCCTGTGTTGCCATGCTACCAGCTTTATGGTAATGATAGTGTAGGATGCACAGGTGGAGGAGCGGCACTGTGCATAAAGGACTATATAATTTGCAACAGCATAACAATATTATGGCTAAAGAGAAACAGTACAGAGTTCTTGTAGGCAAACATCCCACAGACTAATCATAAAAATATAGAACAAGGAATGAACTAACAAATTTCTCATCATGAGGATGACAGTCATCGGAAAATGTTAATTGAGAGTAGGAAGCTGAAAGCAGGTAGCAGTAGCAGGAGATTTTGGGTGCCTTTATAAAGATGTGATGCTTCAGCAAAATAAGATATAATAGCCATATGCAACAAAGCCTGATTGCTAGAATAATGAGTCCTGCAGCCAAATCCGCAACACAAGATGGTATTCTGTATTTCATCTTTAGTGCTGCACATGTTCAGCAGGTTTTGGTGGAGGGAGTCCTGTACTGGCAATCACAGTAAAGCTGTGTTTGGCAGCACTGTGGGACAGAGAAGCAGTCCCAGAGGGAAGAAGCCCACAGAATTAGGGAGGTCTTTAGAAAAATAAGCAGAAAATTCAACAAAGCCTGTGTTGGAAGCCTACATTCCTAAGGAAATAGACGTTTTAATAAATATTGAGACTGATGTCTATCAGTAGAGTAGTTAGCAAGACTATTGTAAGGAGAAGACCACCAGTTAGAAAGCAGAAGGCTTGTCCAACAGAGGAGAATAAGAAAGCCTGTATCATGGCAGACCAAATATGGAGAAAAAAACTAAAAGCATCTAATAAAAAAAGTGAAGAACACCTGGTAAAGGATGTTCAGGATGACAGTTTTGTAAACCCGTTGAAATATGAAATACTGTTAAGGAACTGGCAGGGTTGCTTGGTGGCAAAAGATCTTTTAGGGACATGAAGGCCATAGTCGAGAAACTCAGTGAATTCGCTCTTCCCTGCCAAAGTTGTTGGGGTATTTTCATGCCTGATGCAGCAAAACGGTCAGAGGAGCCAGGTCCACTCAATGGATGTGTGCAGGAAGTATTAAGCCACCCAGATAAGTGGGAGAACAGCAAGTAATAAGTACCAGATGGCTTTCATATGGGTATCCTGAAGGATCTCAACAATGAGACTGTCAGCCAAGGCATGTAACCCACCATTACAATCAGGCACAGTGCCATGGAACTGGCATGTCACCAGTGTAGCTCTCACATCTACAAGAAGGGCTTGAGAGGGCAGCTCAAAGGCCACAAGTAGGTCTTCTCAGTGCTGGGAGCTATCAACTGCCGAGACTGATTTACACCTTTGGTATGTTGTGGGGGTCTGTAATGAAGAATGAAGGCACTGAGCTCATTGAAATGCTAGTCTGATGAGAACGAGTTAGCATGTCTTCTGAAAAGGGAGATCCTGCCCCATTCACCTGCTGAAATGCTGTGAGAATGATGGATGAAGAAGGTTCAGGGGTCGTTTTATATGCATATATGGATATGTATGCATTTATACGGTTGCATTTGTCAGCCTTTGACAAAGTTCTGCACCAAGGGTTTCTTAAGGAACTAAGCTGTCAGTAAGCTGGAAAGCATGTTTTTTGTGCCCTGAAAGCTGGTTGAAGGGGAAGAAGCAAAGTGTGGGGCTTAATGAATCAGCAGTGGAGTCTCTAGAGCTTAGTACTTGGAGCAGATTTATTCAATATATTTATCAATAACCTGGAAAAGACAGTTATCCAGGTTGGCAGATACCACATTGAAAGCTTGGCAGATAAGCATTAGTGTATTTTAATGTAAGGTGATGCATGTTTTGAAAAATAATCTGAACCATGTCTACATAATATGAGCTTGAAACTGGTTGTTACATTCAGGAAAGGGCATTTGGCATTGTCATCACTGACCACTTACTGAAGTAATTTCTTCATTGACTGCAGCAGCACATGCAAACAAAAATGTCAGCAAAATGAGTGGCATCATCAAGAAGGTTATGGGGAACAAAGTAGGGTATCATCTTGTATAACATCTCCATATACCCCAATAATGACCAGCTCTGGTCTTTGTATCTAAATAAAGAGATTATGGAGTTAGAGAAGGCGCAGAGAGGGGCAAATGAAATGATCAAGGAGACAGAGCAAGGACTAAAAAGCTTGAGACTCTTTAGTACGGAAAGGAGGTGGCTGAAGATGGATGTGGTCAAGGTTTACAGAGTCATGAAGGGTGAGATACTGTGAATGCACTCTGTTATTCATAGGGCCCTGCAGTACTGGGAGGTGAGGTACTCAAGAGAGTTGTTGAGAGCCTGCTTTCAAGCAGAAAAGAGGGTGCTCCTCTGTACAGCACTGGGAACTTGTTGCCACAGCAGATGGCTCAGCAGGTTCAAAACAGGACTGGACAAATGCCAGGACAATAAATAGGAAACAGAAGACTGGGCAAGGATGTGCTCCCCAGTGCCCATAGACAGCATTCAAGAAGCTGGGTAAATGCAAGGGGAAAGCACTCCAGAAGGCGATCAGGCAGGTGATCAGGCTCTCATGTTGTCTCTAACCAGCCTCTCCTATTGCCACCATTAGAGACTGAATACTAGGCTAGATGGACATCAGTATGAGCTGCTAGCAAATTTCTTACAGTCACAACTTGCTCCTAGTTCCTGGAAGTATTAACAACCATAGCTGACTTCACTGAGTTGATCCAAATTCCTGCTGGTGAGGTGAGACAAATGCCTGCAGTGATACTAATACCGATTCCACTCTCTATGTCAAAAACCTATTACTGAGAAAGTAGCATTAGTCAGCAGCCTCAGGCTACCCCCAGTTGTAGTGAAGGACAGTCAGTCAAGCCATGCAGCATCTCAGTGGACAATGGAATCAATTTCTATGCCATGTCTGGACAGAAGGACACACTGCTTTTGAAGAGGTAAGGTGAAGGAGGGCTGCTGCTAACAGTGTAAATATGAAACCTCCACTGTCTCTGAAGGTTAAACTCTCAGTTTCCAAAGTGCTGATCTTGGACCTGCTGCTCTGAAGCACTGCATTCACTATAACATCGGGAACTACCAAAGAACACAGTGTTCTGCACATGCAAAGTTAAGTAGGGAAATCAGGCTGCTCATTCAAAATAGAGGTATTTGTTATGTTAAGTGATAAATATATAGATCCTCCTATATGCCAGGAAAAAGAGATGCTCTCCACATCTATCACAACTCTGTCTGAAGAGGACCCCAAACACCACAGTCTCATGTTCATTACCCAAATAGGCAGGCAATTATGGTATCATTGCTGTATAGGGGATCACTTGCATTTGCCACTGCACTTCTGAGAAAAACAGAAGTTCTCATGGTTTTTTTAGAAGTTTCTATTGGCTTGCTTCTGGCATTTACTTTATGTTTCAGGGACAGTGTTACCAAGAGTAAATGTACCAGAATGTAATATTTAGAATTAACACTAAATTCATCAAAACATGGCATTTTATTAACCTTTCTACATGCACAATAACGGGAAAAGAAAAATAAAGAGTCTGACATTTAACACTTTTTATTTTAGAAGTTTGCCATAAACCAAATATGTGGTTTTCATCTAGTTAAAGAAAAGACTCACAATCAGATCCACAATTTGATTGTTATCATCCACCTGGCAAACATGCCTAGTAACATAAATACACTCTTTTGCCAAAAATATTTCTAAAGACCAGCTTTCTCATAGAGAACTTTAGTCAACAATCACAGCTCCTGGCAAATAAAAACCTATTGAAAGTAATAAGAAATACAAGTAGGTTGCATTTTAATCATTGCAACATTTTAATCTACATCAGAAAATGCAGACAAATCCTGTCCTACCTCAACTCATGAGCCTTCTGGTGTGTTCAGTATTCCCTTCTTCTGCTTGCTGTTGCTCACAACTTTCAGGGTTTTTTAACAAAAGGGAAAAACAGAAAAAAACTTGATGCAAAACCCAAGTGCTGTTTATGCAGAAGCCACAGAAAAGTAATGAGCAGTAAGAAAGGGAAGTAAATCCTGATTGAAAGGTCTTCCATCTTCTTAAAAGAGAAATGTTCTCAGCTCAAGGAGCTGTGCTAGTAATCACGTGGCAATCTTTCATAATTTTCACCCAATGAAAGAGGCTCTGCAGCTACGTGGCATATTGGGAAGTTTCCTGGATTTCTGTATTTGGGCCCACACTTCTATATATATGCTTTCAGCAATCAGGGTTGCTCAAAATATTAGAGGATATCCCCATATAGCCTTCACATGTCTTGTTAGAGATGTAATTCTTGGAATTATGGAAAAGACATGTAATGGGGTTATTTCCCAGGCTTTTCATGCAGAAATCGAGAAGAGTGAAATTGAAAGCAGGCTGCTAGGAACTGGTGTGTGATCTCATTCAGCTCATAGTTCAAGGTTCAGTTTACAGAGCTGAGGGACTAATTTTCCTTGAATTTTGATAGGAACAGAATCCACAGGCCACAAGCAAGTGGCTGCAGTGAATGCCTTACTTCCCCTTAACATTTTACCATTTCACAGTGGAGCAACATTGTCTGCACAGATGGGTGCTCGGAGCCCACTGCAGTTATGAAATAGGTATCTATACATACTATAGATATAACAGCTTGGTTATTCCTCTTCTGTCCTGTCGGCCCATGCAGGTGGACCAGACATACTCAAGTACTCTCTGGCTGCTGTGTTGTATTTTGTATCAGCAGCAGGTTAGGAGTCCATGCATAACTCCTCACCATGGCTCAGTGGATGAGTAGTCCCCAAAAAAGCTTTCTTGCCCCTCACATTTATGTCTGTCTACACCCCAGGGTGCTTCAGGTAATGATTGTTATCTATCTTCCATAGCCACTTGGGCTTGATTCTCATTTATCACTCTCCACTCTGGTTCTACTTGTGTGTTTGAGAACAGAAATAGACCTCTCAGCATACTCCATGCAGGGTCATGTTGGCAATGTGCAATGGCTGCAAAGATCCATGTTACCAGAGCCCACAGATCCCTATGACCATGTAATAAGTATGTATAGCTTGCAAGCAGCTCTGCGGATGTTGTTTTCAGTGTGGGACTACAAAAGGAAAACCAGCTTGGCTAGGAACTAGTCTAACACCTTCAGTCTCTGGGGTGAGCACAAAATCCGTAAGTGGTGCTTTTGAACATCTGCCAACATTTGCATTGACAGAGCAAAGTAAGCTTAAAAAGCTCCCTGATCCACATCTGAGATCTACATCAAGGTGAATTTTCAAGGTGCAGCGTGACAGGGAATTAGGACCCACCTGAGACCACTGCTGGCTAACTTAGACTTTCCCAAATCTCGTGGCACCTAAGCCCCTGGATAGATGTCCTTTTCTAGCTGTGGTTGTGCTGGATGTTTTCATTACCATCCCATCTGTTTCCCCATCTGCCAAGGTCTGCCTGCAGAGTGGCTTGTGTGTGCTTCCTAGTCCCATTCAGTCACTGAGAAACATAGACACTTGAAACAGGAGGCCTCTGTTCACGCAGTCCATATGGACTGAAGCAAGGTGGAAATGACCCATAAACACCACGGTGGCAGATTTCAAGGGCAGAGCTGTTTGGGAGGGAGCTGTGACATGTGGCAGGAAGCAGTGTGGGGTGTGACAGCCAGAGGACAGCTATGGCCTTGGTGTTCACTCAGGAGATGCCCCAGTAACTTGGGCTGCATCTTACCTGCAGCCAGCAGAGACTGCTTTAGGCATTGCAGTAGCAGTCTGATGACATCTCCATCACATGGCACTTGGTGATAATCATTCTAGGACTAATAGGCAGGCTGTTCTCATATACAGAAGGTGAGAGATTGAAATATGCAGAAAAGTTAGACACTGATCACATTTTATTTTCCTGAATGTGTTTTGAGAACATCTCTTTCACCATATAAGGTTATCTTTGTTGCCTGGATGGTTTCCCACACTGACCTTCTTAAACGCCCTGCTTTCTGGAGAGTACTGTTTCCTCCATTTTATAACATAATTCTGTATTTTGGTTTTTGCCTGGCTTTGAGTAAATGAGGTTGGCTGCCACCTCACCCTGCACCTGATGAGCTAGATCCTGAGTGACTGCTTGGGATATTTTAGAAACAGTCACTGAATGACTCAGCTTCCGAGGGGAGTTTATTACATATCTGACTAATAAAAAGCTCAATAATTCTGAAGAAATCTCAGAATATCATGAAGAATCAAAGATTTTCATCATAAAATGATGAGTGGATATCACCTATTCAACAGTTAAGAGCCTAGATTATTTCTGAATCTTAAGTCCCATAAAATGCGTAGATGATCAAGGACATAGCAGAGTGTAAACCACCCCTCTGGGCTGCAGTTACTCCCCATTCTGCCTTCGTTTCTATTCCCTTTTGCATTTTTGGCTCCATGACAGCCCAGTTTCAAGACAGAAGAGCATGAGGGAATGACTCATCTTTGTTCTTCCTTCCTCACAAACCCACCTCCCCTCCAGTCCTTCACAGGCATACTGCCCATAAAAAAAGGGCCACATAGAAGCAAAAATTTAGACTCTCTTTCCCCTGTTCAGCATGTCCTATAGGCTAGTTCAAGTGTCCTCATGGGCTGAGCACTGCCTGGTGGGAGTGCCAGTCAAGAAGCCTGTCTACCACACAACCCGTATAGGCCACGTGGGGCATCTCAAACACACATCTTGCTATTACATGCTCTACAGGGCCAGTTGTCTCTGCACAGCAATATTGTGTCACCCTAAAGCAGGGTGAGCTGCTGTTTGAGGACACTTTGTTTTCTGGCGCATCCCTCCATAGCTGCAGTCTCACCGGGCAGGTTGTCATCGCTTCACACCTGAGCAGAGGGTCCTGAAAGCTGCCTGAAACCCATCTAAGTCTTGATGCACACGCACAGCCCAACAGACTCATGTTAGCTCATCAGCTCATGGCACATTGATGCATTTGCACATCAGCTCCAGTAGCTCAGCAGCGCCATGGCCACAGGGACTGTGCATGGCAGACATAGCAATACCCAGCACCAGGGAGCTGGAGTGAGACATCAGTATCCTAGACAACCCAGATGCATATTTTTCCAGGCACTCAGTCCATGTTTTGTTGTCTTCAGGCACTAACTTCCAGTGGCAGAGTTTCACTTTCTTCATGCCAAAAGATTTTTGGTAAAAATGGATCTATCAAACAAACAGAAGGGATTATCTCCATTGAAGATTTTAGTGCTGTATGTCTTCAACATGGCAGCTTAGCCTACTAACACATATCTATCTCCAGAGACTAAAATCGCCTACATTCATTTTCTGTGCAATCCAGGGAAAGGAAAAAAAAAACAGCATCCAATGCTAGTACCTCATCTGTTGTCAGCCATAAGGCTGCATAGATGGGAAGATGAAAGTGACAGCTGCATGAAGAAGAAGGAAGAACCAGGGGCAATTTTAAGAGGGGCTATTCAGAAACGAAAAGCACAGAAGGTTTTCAAGCTGTTTCTTTTGCATCATTAGTAATGACATCTTTTTTAATTGCCTGCGGTCCTTTCTTAATTGTTTGATGTTCCTCATTAGGATATGGTTGAGGGCAGAGGAACATTAATATATAGCTGGACAGAAAAAAGACATCTAATGTTTTATGTAAAATAAACTGCTCCTTTCTGAGTCTGAAGCACTAAACCTGAAAAAGTCTTTGCTAGCCCCTCCAAAGGCAGCTGGGGGCCTTGGGAAGAATTGATCATCTCCAAAAGCTGTGGAGCCAATGGCAGCTGGGAGCATTAGTGCTCTTCCAGGAGATGAATCGATCCAGTCCTTGACTCTGAAAAGACTGAACCAGAGCAGGACAAAACAGCAAACACTTTCTAAGGCCATCATCTAAAGTCCACTGAAGCCATTGGAAAGAATAATACCTTTTGGGATTAAAACCTAAATAAGACAGTCTCAGGAAGTGTGACTAGAAAGAAAGAACTTTTTTTTTTTCACTTCAGCTAGCTAAAAGCCTTTCAGATCTAAAATGTGCAAGGTTGTCAGCATGCCAGGTATGTTCTGTCTTCTCTGCATTGTGTATCTATCTTTCAAAACCTCTCGCTCAAATTCCACAGCCATTTACTAACTACCATGATGCTGAAGTGACCTTCTGCTTGCATTATGCATTTTGAGTAATCACCATCTGCAATTGTGATCTTTATTATTTCTGGTTTGTGTGTTAGACATCACAGGGTTGCAAACTGATGGGATAATGAAAGTGCATAATTTTCAGGATTTGGCAATGAATCTAGTTATCATCTCTGCTTCAAGATTTGGTCTCCTAAAGACTTATAATTTGTATATGTTGGCACATGTATGCAATTCCACAGTTCCCCGTGCACACAGCTCTGTGTTTTGATCTGTGTTTACCTCATATTAAATGTTCTGCAAATCCTGTGTTATTTTGCTAAACTGTCCCTTCATACAAATACAGGAACCTGAAGTAAAACAAGCTTCTTTTCTTTTCTTTTTTCTGACCCTTTACAATATCCCTGACTACGATTCTATGACTCAACAGCTGGATAAAGCCCAGCAACAATGTACTAAAATCAGAATGACAAGGTGTAGGTGATTTACATCTTATACCCAATGGCTAACCACTGCTGTAAGATACAACCTGCAAGACTTCCACGCAAACTCCAGCTACCACCAAATCCACTTTCATATCAATGTAATCATTGCTAATACTTAGCAAAAACATTATCACAGACAACAATGTGCCTCACCGCAATTCCATTCCCTAATCACAGCATCTTGATGCAATTAATAGAATCATAGAATCAGAATAGTTAGGGTTTGAAAGAACCTTAAGATCATGTAGTTCCAAGCTGCCCACCATGGGCAGGGACACCTTCCACTAGACGAGGTTGCTCAAAGCCCTGTCCAGCCTAGCCTTGAACACTGCCAGGGATGAGGCAGCCACAGCTTCTTCGGGCAACCTGTGCCTGTGTCTCACCACCCTCAGAGTAAAATATTTCTTCCTCATATCTAACCTACACCTCACCTGTATAACTTTGAAACCAAATTCCCTGTTTTTACTGTAGTCATATAATCATAGAATCATAGAACAGTTAGGGTTGGAAAGGACCAGTCACTTTCTTACCCAATGCATTTCTAGTGCAATTTCATGCACTCTCTTTATGTGGGGAGGGTTGTGTATGTCCATATACAACAAGTGTAAGTGCAGTTGCATGTATGCATTTAT